CTGGATGTGTAACATTCAGTGCTTCACCCGCGCCCCTAGCACTTTCGCCACCCCGCCCCGCCCCGACCGTTTCTACCAGTTTCTGGTTTTTTCCTGCACCCCCACCACCGTCACGACCCGTATAATTTCACACGACCCACCGCCCGCACCGCCCGCACCGCCCACACCGCCCTCACCGCCCATAGGGTTTGAGGGCTTTTCGGTTTAGGGTTTAGGGTTTAGGGTTTTAAGGTTTAGGGTTTGAAGGCTTTTCGGTTTAGGGTCGAGGATTTAGGGTTTAGGGTTTGAATTTAAGCTTGAGTTTAAGGATTCGGGCTGCCTGGCTTGCTTATGTCAAGAACTTACTGGGTTCTTTTTGGCTGTTACACGTCTAGTGTACGCCGCAGAACTTGCAAACGTTCCTATGTTGTTACGGACAGAGAAGTCAGGTGAGATGGCCTGGCAGAATTTTGCAAGGATGAAGCAAGAGAGTGCTGTGTGCTCAGGTGATATGATTCAAAAACCATCAAAACCAAACTAAAACTGGCCCTTTGAGTCGTTTCTCTCGAGACTGGCTGGTGCGCCGTCTACTTACAGATCGCACTATGTATGTTATGTCAGAGGACAGCGGTCCGGTTTGCCACGTCATAAAGCGCGAGTCGTCCTGGGAATCGACCTCTTGCGCCAGCTGGCTAACATGATCTTCCTCTTCAACACCAACAATGCCTTTATGGCCCTCGCTTATACGAAGGGGTGGCGGAGTACCTGCGGGGACAGCATATTCCACGACGGCCCGGAGGTACAAATGCAACGCCTCATCGCGTCGTGTGACGGTCTCCAATACGTCTGGGGAGGAAGGGATTTGTGCGCGTTTCACGGTTCGATGCCGGCTCCTCTTGTCGTGTTGGCACTGGGAGTCCTCTTCAGCACTGTGGACTGGACTACGTTCCCATTCAACTGGCCGATGAAGAAGGTGAAACGCGTTGGATTTGCCAACCGTCTGCGAGCCTGAAGTCCTAAGCCGCTTAACTGCTTAACACCATGAGAGCGGAGGCCCCTGACTATATAAAGGTCCCCGAGGCCCCTAAAGCCGCAAACCGACAGCTAGACGAGACCCCTGGGGTTTAGGGTGTAGGGTCCAGGGTTTAGGGTTCAGGGTTTAGGTTTAAGGGTTCAGGGTTTAGGGTCCAGGGTTTAGGGTTCAGGGTTTGGGGTTGCCCAGCAAACCTAAACCGTAAACCCTGATACCCTAAACTAAACCCGAAGCCCTTGACCCTAGACCCTAAACCCTGATACCTTAAACCCTAAAGCCCTAAA